TCTTTGCAGGACTTGCCTTCTTCAACAGCCATCAGTCATTTTGCATTAATTATCCTATCCGCTGGTCCTCCAGGCTTCAACAGGGCTCCACTGTGTGTAAAGAGAGAGAGAGAAGAGAGAGAGAGAAAGAAAGAAAGAATAGGCAAAAAAGGAGAGGATTACAAGTTAGGGGGAAAAAGGGGAAGGAAGGAAGGAAGGGAGGGGATGGGATGGGGGGTGGTGTGAGTGAACCAAACACTCGCACGGTTCTGCTGTGCGCTCCATGGAGATGGTTAGGAGAGTGAGAGGCCGCAGCAGTTGCAGGGGAAGGCAGGAGCGGGCAGATCGGAAGAAGAAAAAAAACACACACGTTTCAAAATAATCTGCGAAGAAACTCGGAACCGATTTGTCTCGGTTTTCGCGCGTGTGTGTGCGTGTGTGTGTGTGTGGAAAATTCCTACAGTGAGGAATAAAGTTGTTCCACGCGGATACTCCTAACACACACACAAACTTATCATGTTATCTCTCTCTCTCTCTCTCTATATATATATATATGTATACACACACATTCCCATCTGAACTTCCTCTGCTCTACACCGACGTTATAAGAGCGCGAGTTGCACACATCTTCCCTCTCTGCCCTGTGCACAAAGTGCCTTTCTTTTCCTCTCGCAAACTTCTGTCTCTCCTTTTCTTTTTTGCAGCGGTAAAACTTTTCTCCCACCACCTTCCAGTCATTCCCCCCCCAAAAAAACACACACACCCCCCAAAAAAAAACCCCCAATATCTTGTTGGTCCGTTTTAAAAACTCTTTTTTAAGACTTTAAAATGCCATTCCCCCCCCCCAAAAAAAAACGGTTCCCCACCCACCCATTTTTTTTTGGGGGGGGGTCGCCTCTCTTACGATTTTCCTTCCTCTTTTCTCACGTCCTGATTTTTAAACCCGGGAGTAGTCTTTTTTTTTTTGGGGGGGGGGGGGGGGTGAAAAAAAATAATAGGCGTTCTCCTCATTCCCGTCTCTTTGTCTCTTCTTTATAATCATTTCACTCTCTCGCGTCAGTTATCTCTATACCTCCTTCCTGGTGTTTGGTGGTGGTGGTGATGGGGGGGGAGTGGGGGGGAAAGTCTGTCACCTCGTTCTTCCTGTTTCCTTTCAAGCACTTTTGTTTCTTGTGATTGTTTCTCATAGTGTCTCTCCTTTTCTTCCACGTTGTTTATCTCTCCTCTCTTTCTCGCAAAGCTACTTTTTTTTTGGGAGGGGGGGAACTGAGGGGACCCCCCCCCCCCCACACATACACACACACACACACACTCTTTCTCTCTCTCTCTCTCGTTGCAATTACTCTTTTTTTTCTCTCTGATTCACCTTCTTCCTGCTCTGCAAACTACACTCCTCCTTCTCATTCATTCATTCATTCATTCATTCTCTCTCTCTCTCTTTTTTCTTCCTCCTCCTTCCCTCCCCCTTTCTTTTCCCCTCTCCCCCCCCCCCCACCCTCTGTGTGTGTGTGTGTGTGTGTCTCTCTCTGTGTGTGTGTGTGTGTGTCTGTCTTTCTATGCTCCACAACCATGATGGGGTCTCCTCGGAGGCCGCCTGGAAACCGCCACTTGTGTGTGTGTGTGTGTGTGTCTGTGTATGTATGTGTGTGTATGTATGTATGTGTGTGTGTGTGTGTGTGTATGTGCCCTCTCTCTCTCTCTCTCTTCTCTCTCTGTAATGCCCAACCGGCCCAGTGTAACGTCTTGGAGAAGGGGATGGAGAGAGAGAGAGAGAGAGAGAGGGAGAGGGAGATGGAGAGGAGAGATGGATGAGGAGGTGGAGATGGGAGTGGGTGGAGGATGGAGAGAGAGAGAGAGGGGGCGCCTGGAAACCGTCGCCGCACCCTAATTGCTTTCCATGCAAACCCCCCCCCGCCACCAACCCCCCCGGGGTGCGGACTGGCCGCCAGCCAATCAGAGGCTTGTTGACAGAGTTTGACGGACGGGGGTCTGGCGGGCCGCCAGCCAATGGGAGCCGTGTTGACACAGTGTGACTGACAGCGGCCCCGGCGCTGCTCGCGGTGCGCTGCCTCATTGTGCGGACAAGTTGTTGGGAGCAAAGAAATCTTTTTAGTGCTCGTGCTCGACTGCAACCTTTTTTTCAGAGGTGTAGCATGTCACATAGCGTCCAGATAATTAAAATTTAGTATTTTTGGGGTGGGTTTTTTTTTTCCTCCTCTCTCTCTCTCTCTCTCTCTCTCTCCCTCCCTCCCCCTCTTCTCCTCTCCTCTCTCTCTGTGTTGTGTTGTCTCTCTCCCTCTCCTCTCTCTCTCTCTCTCCCTCTCTCTCTCTCTCTCTCTCTCTCACTCACAATAAAGCCAGTGTACACTCGGATTTTGCAGTAAGTACACGTTTTTGCTACAAAATGTAAAATGCATTGCAAGTCAACATCGGAAACATTTATTTTCTGATTATATTATTATAGAGATATTTATATATATATAGATAGAGAGAGAGAGAGAGAGAGAGGGAGAGAGAGAGGGAGAGGTTATAGATAGACAGCGAGAGAGAAAATAGATTCAAAATGTGAGTTTTTATTTTATTTGTTCCCTGCGTTATTTTTGCAAATTGTGACTTAAAAAGTGTATTTCCGGCGCTGTTGGTTGTTATTAAAAAAAAGCCTTGCGATCGCTTCAATAAAACTGCCCTTTGTTGTGAAGCATCCCTCTCCCTTTCCCCCCCCCCCCTCCACATCTTCTCCCCCCCCCCTCCCCCCCACCCCCACCCCCTCACCCCTGTTTTACTTGTGCAAAAAGAGAGATAGAGTTTTATTTAATGCCAACGGTTCTTGTTGGGGGTGATGTGCGCTCTGCAGCTCGGTTGGATTGATGAGGATCTCTCAAATCCATTCATTCAAAGCTTCACCTCCCCCCCCCCCACCCCACCCCCCCCCCCCCCAACCCCAACCCCAACCCCACCACCAAAAAAAAAACCACCCACACAAATTCCCTAATTTCCCCAAATTTCCACCCCAGAAAGGAATAAATATAAACAGTATTGTCGCTCTGTCCTTAGAAATTCTCGTGGAGAGATTCTCCAGAGGGAGCGAAATGGCAATCGTGCAATATTATATTGACACGTTATCATTTGCAACAGAATGCCTTCGGTGGTATGATACAACTCCTCCACATTTCAGAAATAAAAGAAAGCTTTCCGAGCTCACCCAAGTTCATCTATTAATTTCTAAAAATTTCTTTTTTTTAAAAAAAAGAAAAACGCAGCAGCGTGGAGACAGTGGAGAGCAATCTCACATTGTGCTCTTAAATTAATGTCTCTTTAACAGTCCCTACATTACAAATACTGGGAGCTTAACAGCATCGCTGTTCTGATTATTATTTTAATCTGTATATCGGTTGATGGATTAATTGTACCATTTTTCGGCCTGTTCTTTACTTGCGATTCACTTTACATATATGCACAGTGAGAGGTAGGGAAACACCAGCACTTTTAACGTTGAAATCTTGGATGCTCAATGCGGTCCACTTTTGGGGGAGGGAGTTTTTAAATGTCTTATTTTAGTCATTATTTTTTTAAAATATATATATATACAATATAAAAAAATAACCACAAAGTCAGATTGTGTAGTTGGGAAGGGAGTATCGGTTCTTTTAACTGCCAACGTTTCGCATTGATGACACTTGTGTTGAGGACACCGAAACGTTGCGCGTGGGGTGTATTTTGCATTATTCGAGGATGGTGCAAGTTGTAATTCAATTTTAAAAATGATTGTCAAGTGGAAGCAAAGGCAGGAGGGAGGCGAGAGGGGAAGAACGAAGAGGAAACCCGGTGACAATGTGCAAAGAGGCGATAACCTTTTAGTAGCGTCTTCTGTTCAGTAGCCGACAGACGCACCACACGGCTGTACAGTGTTATTGTGCACGTCTGCCCTGTTCTGTGGCTGTGTATACGTTTAAAATGTTACAGCAAAAGCACAGTGCAATTTCTGTGCTACAAACCAATTCGTCTTAGAAGCAAACTGCCTTTAATAAACATTTCATTGTTTAATCCTCTAAACGTCAGGAGTAATTTATGTCCTCGGGAGCTGAATGCAGCCTCTATATAGTGGCAGATTTTTTGCTTCGGTTTTTTTTTATTGTTGGCATTGCTTAAGTGTGCAGGTAAATACGCTCGATTTATAAGGGTGGGGGTGGAGGGGTGGGGGGGATATGATGTGTCTTCATTTTGAAAAAGAAGGCAAATTATCACACAAAAAAAATAATGGCGAGCTTTCTCTCTCCTTTCTTGTGATTGCTCAAACATCTGCGACTGCCTCCACATTTTGCACGAGATTTACTTTTTCCTTTTCAGACCAGTATTTTTTTGTCGGGGGGTCAATCTCTGACTGCGTTTTTTTGGGGGGGGGGTTGTTGTTGTGCGTGTGTGTGCGTGTGTGTGCGTGTGTTAAAGAGTGAAGAAATGTGCAGTTGAAAATGTGTAAGCGATTTTTTTTTCTTTCCCCCCCCCCCCCCCCCCACCTCCACCTCCACCCTCCACCCCATCCTCCTCCTCTGCCCTACCGATGCTCAAGAAAGGGGAAGGGAAAAGGGGTTCAAGGGCTTCTTTTGATGTTGTGGTTTTGTTGTTTAGCAGTATGGCGCCTGGGAGGAAGCAAAGCAAAAGCAAAGCAAAGCAAAAGCAAAGCCAAAGCAAAAGCAAAGCAAAAGCAAAGCAAAAGCAAAGCATCTCGCAAAGTTTCTCTCTGCTCGGGGGGGGAGGGAGGAGGAGAGGAGGAGAGGAGAGGAGGAGAGGAGGAGGGGGGGGGGGTGTGGGGTGGGGGAATTGAACTGTCGGGAGAGCTTTTTGCAATGCGAATCGGTCGCCCTGAGCGTTTGCACTGACTCTTAAAACTCTGTTGCAGAGGATGGGAGACTCGCCCGGGCTGCAGAGCGGAACACTCAGATGAGCCCGGGTCCGCCCGAACCCTCCCAGACACCTCGCTCGGCTTTGTGGATCTGTACTTGGGGACCCGTCTCTGCGGCGCGATGGACGGCAGGGAATTCGCTCCTCCTCACCTCCTCTCCCATGCGCTCGGCGTGGAGGCGGCCCGGGAGCGGGGAGCCCTGGCGCACCGAGCCGTCGGGCGGATCGCCTCGGCCGGACACGGCGCCGCCCCGCACCCGGCCCACTTCCAGCCCGCAAAGTACTTCTCTTCTCCGCTGCCTATGCCGACACATTCAGGTCAGTGATGGAGGGGGTTTGGGGGGGTTTGTGGGGGTGGGGGGTTGGGGGGGGGGGTTTGGGGGGTTGGGATAACACGCACACACTCACACGGCACGGATGCATTCGCCCAAACCTTTTATTCCGTTTGGTTTTACGCACACGAATATCGCCGAAATTCGCAAAGAGCGACTGGTCAGTGAGCAAAACAAAACAGCATCGTTCTTTGACGTGAAAGTCTACTGCTAACATCTGGAGGGTTCATTAGCAGATCCGGGAATGCACGACTCTTTATATATATATATATATATATATATATGTATATGTATGTATGTATATATATATGTATATAAAATATGTATATATATAATATATATAACATTGTATGTTGTGGAGAAGGGGGAAAAAAATCTCAGTGTAAATCCCATATTTTAAATCGTGTTACTTAGCACAAGGCTGATGGTAGATTGTGTGGATTAAGCTCGCGTCATGTAGCAAAGGGGGAGAGACGATATATATATGTATATATATATATGTGTGTGTGTGTGTGTGTAAACGTTATGTTCTGCACATTCTGCAGAAATATAATAGTGCAAAACGATATTGAATGGAGCTATTCAAAAGAGATTGGAGTCACGTTGAGTGTCGGCTGAGTGGCAGAGTGTGAGTGTGTCTCTGCCTGTCTGTGTGTGTGCGTCTGTGTGTGTGAGAGAGCCAGTGCTTGAAAATCCCGTTTCCAAAATGGTTTGCGAAGTGCGAGGGTGAAAATAGGTTCACTCGACATCCAGGAGCTTGGTCAAGTGTTGCTGGTATTCTGTTAAACAAATACTGCACAGGCGTTAGAGTAAAAGGGGGGGGGGGGGTAGTTTGGGTGGGTGGCTGGGGAAAAAAATGTGTTCTACCGTCTGCACTGGGATGGATGAAACCCTAAACGGTATCTGAGCTTAGCCTCGATCTTGGAGAAAGGCACAGCATTTTCTTGCACGCGAAGTTTAATCAAATGATATATATATANTTTTTTTTTGCATTTGATACAGCGCCTTGTTACCTCTCAAACCGCTTCGCGGGATACATTGCAACGTGTATTTGCGGATGAAACGTTATGTTCATACACATCCCATTAAACGCGAAGTTTAATGGGAATATGTATGTGTGTACAGTTCACCGTTGTGCAAGTCGTATCTGAATAAAGATTTATACAGGCAACAGAATCCCACTGTTCCATTCAGTCACTCCTATTTATATAGAAATTCTGATTGCAGGGGTTACATTTCATTGCAAATTAGTTATGTTTCTCGACATTCCGAAGTGCTAGTAATAGCAATAACAATAATACAGAAAGTTGTCAGTTTCTCGGTTCTGTCAAAAGCAGATGGTTTGAGTAACGGGTGTATCTGATTTTTTTTCCAGTGATGGCCTTTTAGCGTTTCTAAGTATATAGATTGGATCGAGTTTCGTCTTTAAAAAGAAAGGCAAACACAAAACCTCTCTTGGAGTTGCCCAGTGTGTGTGCTTTGGCGGAGCTTGGTACATTGCTGTTAAAAAAAAACCCCCAGCGATATTTCTGTTCCTGGTCGAGATTAGCAACCGATTTCCCTTTTTTTTTCTCTCTCTTGGAAAAAGAAACCCCCCCCCCCCCACACACACACACACAACAGGTCGCTTGTTGCTGTCTTTTGCTCATGTTAGCAGGCGTGCAAGGTGGCGAGGTGGTGGGTGTCTCAGCACGAAATTATCCCGAATGTGTTGCACATTCGGTGGGGGGACAGAGAGAGACAGAGAGAGACAGAGAAAGAGAGAGAGGGAGAGAGAGAGAGAATGCTTTAAATTACTGTCGCTTTAAGCCGCCGTCCGCTTTTGCTCACTCACCGTGTGAGAGTTTTTGATCAGTTCCACAGGACCGAGATCTTTTTGACAAGTCAAAAGTTCTTGCAACGGGGAATTTTTTTTTATTGCCAAAGAATTAGGCCTTCTGCATAATATTTTAAACAAGCTATATTGAATCTCGTGGCATTTTTGCTTGGGGGACATTTGGTTAATTAAATGAGGGATTCTCTCTCTCTCCCCCCCCCCACACTTTCTCTCCCCCCCCCTCCCCCCCATGAGTGTTGGGATTCATTCTAACCATTGGATGATGTGTGGTGGACTTTTTAAGATCCACGGTGCAAGTTTGTTTGTGCAAATCCTTAAATACACGGTTCAAATTCTAATTCCGATGAAGGGTCTCCATTAGGGATTTCAGAAATCATAACCATAGGTAGTGTCCCAATCAGCAAACCCATTGAATCGGTTTGTAAACCAGCCAACGCTGTGCAATATTTGATGTATTATACGCTTTTTTTCAACTGTTTCGGTTCCCTCAATTGGCACCGAGTCCAAGACATTTCATTAAATGTGCACAAACCACCCGCACTAATCTAAACGGGGCATTTAGAGGTTTTTTGGGGGGTGTTCAGTTGAATGGCGGACGCACATTCACATTTCGGCTAAACGCATCGCACTGATATCAGGAGCGACTACTGGCGTTCAGAAAATATTTGAGGGAGACGAGTTTCTCAGTGTCTTTTGTTCGTGCTTCTAATCACATTGCACGAAATACACCGGGATTGGGTAGGGAATGCATCATTTTTTTTTAAAAAAAAGGAACACAAAATGTAAAACCGTAAAAATTCGGTCAATGCAGTTGAATTTTATATATATTATATATATATATACTGTACTTTATGGATTTCAGTATAGAGGAATGAAGCTTTCTATGAAGACGTTGTCAGAAGATGTTAAATAATAATATCATTTAATTGCTTTCTTGTTTAAAAAAATAACACAGATGAGGGTATTTTACAGTACGGTTAGTAACAGCTAACACTCGCGAATGTCTCTCCCTCTCTCTCTCTCTCGCTCAAAAGCATAATTTTCAGTGTTCAGGCGTGTGTTCAGTTTATATGAATTGAATTGGAGGCGTTTTGCATCGGTCAGAACACTTTTATTGAGAACCTCAACGTGAGCAGTCAGGACAGTGAACTACTGAAAGACAGAAAACCCTCGGAAACGACATTGGGCTTCGGTCGAATTTTATGCAAACCTTGGGGTGTTGACTCAAAAGTTTTTTTTTGGTTGCATTACCTTACGGTCGTCCGTTCCCTCTCGGTTTGTGGTTGGGAGTCCCAACTCACAGTTACAGAGATCTATCAATGGTGGGTCGATTTTTCAATGGTTTGTTTTTATATTTTAAAAAAAAAGGATGGGACATTTTTGTAACGCGCCAGTACAGATATAGACGAGCCAGGAACAGCCTCGCTCGAACCAGAGCCTGGGAATGCATCACTATTACTTTACAGACCAAATGGAAAATCGGGAAAGAGCTGGAATTCCGTAAAGTAGTGGATTTACAGTTGCATGTTTTTTTTTACACACACACACACACACAATATTCAGCATTTTGCCTGGTGTCTGCAAACAGGATCGAGTCTCTCAAGACGTCGTGCATGTTTTTTTCTCCCCCCCCCTTCGCTGGATCATTTCAATTTTACAAATTGGTTGTAAAAAGAGCAGACAGGGAAACCTTTAAATCCACCATTTACGCATCCCAAAGCCAAGGGGTTTCATAAGGTTAAGTCAAGGCCTTTCTCTCTCCCTCTCTCCCTCTCTGCACGTCCACAGATGTATCTTAACTCCACTTATCTACCATTGCATCTTAACCCACTCTTCTCCTCTCTGGCCCCTTTTTAATTTTTCCTTTGCATTTATAATTCATATTCCCTATGAGGCGATTTCATAAGAATTCAAGGATTCTTCTCTCGGTTTGTACCCGTCCTGTGATTGCTGATTTGTCAGACACCCTGACTTTCTCAGTCTGGCCTTTATTGTTGCTCTCAGTCCCTCTTGCTTCCAGCTCACTGCTCGCTTGTAAAGGTTTCCTATTTTATTTGTGAAATTGTCTGTCAATAGGCAAGTAGATCAATATTTAGATAGTTTTTATTAGCCGGATAGATTTATTGGACAGACAAGTCGATTGAGGAGTTGATTTATTGCATTTATCAGATGAAACAGATAATTAAGAGATGCAGATAGGTGCGTGTAGTTGGTATCCGACACGTTAAAGGTAAAGGGCACAACATGACCCCAAATGGTGCACACACAACAGGTAAGAAAAGTTCAACTCAATATCATGAAATGAGAGATAATACACGATGAAACTATTTACACTCGATAGGCGCCAGCTCCACAGTGATCCGAATTAAGTGGAGGCATCGTGACTCTACAGTGTCAGTGGTTGATCAGATGAGCGTAAATTCAATCTCCGCTGAATACGAAAGGAAACACCGCTAATGCAATTTTGGGGGGAGAAGCTGTACAGTCGGTCTGCGCCGCATACAGTTTGGGGGAAGGCGGAGGTTTGATCAGGTAGCTCGATGGGTCTTGGTGGGGGAGATTTGTGCATCTCCAGATCTCTGTGTGTTCAGTAGCTGTCCTCGGTGGCAGAGAGACTGAGCAGAAAGTGCCTCCCTCTGCGTTGCCTTTCCACCACTAACAGGTTGTGAAGTGGGCTGTCGCGAGTTTTCTTTTATCTGTGTTGTCGGCTGATTTATTGAGGCAGCTCCAGGTTTTGCAAACTGTGGGGGGTATTAATCCCCTCCCCCCCCCCATCGCTTAACCGCTTCTCCTCCTTCTCCACAAAATAGAATTGGGGGAGGGGGGGGGAGGATGGGGGGTTGGGGGGGAGATGAAATGAAACGCAAAAGACTGCAGATGCTGGAAATCTGAAACAAAACCAGAGAGAGCTGGGAAACCTCAGCGGATCAGGCAGCATCCAGGGAGAAAGGGAAGCGAGTCAACGTGTCAGAACGCAGAGCTGTGTTTGGGGACGATTTTTCGGGATCATTCTGAAAGTTGGGACAATTGTGGAGAAATTATGCGCACAGACACACACACGCACACATCAAGTATAGGCATCGCGACTTTTCCAGTGGTTCAATCTATCCTCTTAACAGCAGAAGGTGCACAGTTCCTGTGGAAAACGT